AGCAAGGAAGGCCGGGCTCGCGACAACGGTGTACTTTCTTTGGAATGCTCGGAATAGGAAGATATTCGAAAATGAAGTGCAAACTCCGGAGCTCATTATTCGGAAGATTCAAACCCATGTCTATAGGACTATATTTGTTTTGTACCCGAATGTCCTTGCCGAAATGGAGAGAAAAGCCCTCGGAAATGGCTAGGCGAAGCATCCTTAAGGTACGTATTATTAGATCTATAATCATTTTGTTTAGTATTTCATTTTGATTTAGGGTTCCATTTTGGTTTGAGCTGAGCAAACCGACATGTGGTTTGCCTCTCATTATTTTGATTAGCTAGTGAGGAGCCGAAATTGTGGCCGCTCACTTTGCGTTCGTATGCCATGAGACGGTCGATGTAACATCAGTTTTGATCTATAAAAATTTATTTTACCGGTATAAAAAAAGAACATTCACTGACTTGATGACTAATCTCCAGTAAGAATTGTTCCAATCATTAATCATAAATATTTTAATTTTACTACTACAAAGCGCACAATATACTTACATTTATGGCTCAACAGTCAATAGAAAGGCAAGATTTAGAAAAGTCATTTTATTTCCCTATTACATATACAGACAAGCATGATTATAGTGTTCAAATTTAGGTTTGCAAAGGTTGATATCAATGGGCCAATCCAATTGGATGATAAATGGAAATTTAACAAAAAATTGGTGCATGTATTGTTTTCTTGGTCAAAGATTATACACAGTACTCATTTGGTTAAGATTGGGACAAAACTTCTATCAGATGCCTGATTTTGCATTCCATCCACCATGTGAGTAATCTCCATGATGGGGTCCAGAAAAATAAAAAAATATGTACCTGAATTATATACATAAATAACAACCCATTGAATTTGAAAAGGTTCAATGCAATTGGGGCTGTATATATATGCATGATTTTATGTTTTTTTTTTTTACCTTACATAGTTTCAGTTATAACTTATAATTATGGATGGTTAAATTAAGGATTATTCACTCTCAATTGAATAATATTTTAAAGAACTCGGAATTTATCTCATAAATTTCTCAAAAGTCAGCTGAAATTTTATTCAAAATGGTTTGTGTGCTTACAAAATACTTTTATTATATCAAAATTCACTTATAAACTAGCTAAATTTTCAACAAAATTTATCAAACACGTAAATGATTTTCTTGAGATGCTGAAATACTAATACCCAAAAAAAGTTCAAAAGTTGTGATCACAATATAAAATTTTCTAATTTTTGTCCCTTGTACCAATATTAAAGTTTGAAAACAGTTTGGTACATGGGCCTTTATTATCTGCGAGTATAAATAAAGCAACTTTTGTGCCCTATTACATTAGATATATATCATATTTCATGTGATTTGTCTGGACAGAAAAGACATTTGAATTTCATGTTCGATATCTGTACATATTTTGGATGCTTCATACAATGTTCCTGTGTGAAATCAAATCTGAAATCATGTGCTTCTCTGTACATTAGTTTATGAAGCGTACCAGAATTAATAATGGCTGAATTTCATTAACTATATGCATGTCAATTTATTGTTACTGATTATATTTGTAAATAAATTTATTCAAAACTTGATGAGATCTCGAGTGTATTGAAGTCAATCCTAATAAATTGTCAACTAATAAAGTTGAATTATATCAGGTGGAATTAGTAATAACTCATGTTTCTCCTAATTCAATTTCTTTTCCTTCGTTTTTTAATAGAAAACTCAGAACAATTATCTTGAAGTCATGTGACCCACGGATTAGATCTTCAAATTAAGCAATATGTCGAATAAACTAAGAAGAGAATTAGATATAGTTTGCAACTTATTTTCATGTTTTATGCAATATTTTGAACTCAGAAATTTAGAAACCGCAATTAGAGAATGTCACAAATATAGGAGGTAGATTACTACCTTCATTTAGATAAGTTTTTAGTGAAAACTATTCTTGAACAAATTCATCCATATGTGGTTATTCTTAACCTTTGATATTATGGACATCAAGAGTAGAGAACGACTTATTGATGAATGGTTTTCTGCAATCAATACTGTGTCTTCAACTCTTGACTTGTGTTATTTTTACGTACATTTTATAAAAAAATGAAACCGATTTTTTTATCAATAAACTGATTTTTTATCAAACAAATTGATCCGAATTTTTTTTTAAACCAAATAAAAAAATCATCAATATTTCCTAAAAATACAACCAAATTTTTCTAACATTGCACTGATTTTTGTACCAAACAAATTGAATTGAAAATACTTCTAATAAAAAATTGAAATAAATTGTTAATGTTTATGCAACTGTCTCTTTCCTAAATAAAATGATATGAACTTAACCAAAAAAAAAAAATGATATGAACTTACCGAAATCTCGGTAAAACATGGTTAAGAAAAAACATAAGAATCCAAAAAAATCGATGTATTTAAATTTTGAAAAGTTGCACACAATTTTTCCTAAATAATTGGATAAGGTGACTTTAAATATCAATGATGAACCGCTTTTGTTACCAAAATATGTGGACACAATTTTAAATATACATCCCGTCCAAATATCAGTTTTTTATTTTAAAATAAAAATTGCACGTGGCTTTATCCAATTTACACAATATTTCTGAAAGAAAAAATTATTCAATCAGATGGGAAGAATTGGTTAAGAATTATACAACTATTTTCTTTCTAAATTTGTATCCAATTTTTACGGTTTTTAAATTAATTTGTATTTAATTTTTTTTTCAAAAATAATCGACACATTTTTTGCATAAGATCTCCAAATTTGTTACCAGAAAAGATATGATTTAAATTTTTGTAAAAAAAAAATAAAATATGATACGAAAAAAATAGAATTCAAATTTTGTCATAAGAATTTCCAAATTTGTTACCAAAAAAATAAGATTTAGATTTTGTTACTAAAGATTCACATGTGTTTTTTTTAACTTTCCATTAATAGTAAGTCAAAAATTATATTTATTTGGACAAACTTTCTATTAATGTAATTTTCCCAACAACCTCTTTATATAGATATAGTTATAGATTAATTATTTAAGTAATAAATTTTATCAAGATATGAGTATTACTTTGAGTTTTGAAAGAAAAAGGGACACAGACAAAACACAGACCATGCATTGGGATGGGCCCATCTACACAGCCCACTAAAAATGAGTGCAGGCCTGGCCTAATGGTGTTGTTTCAGGGCCAAACTAGCACATTTAGAGTTGGATAAATGAGGGGCATATAATACCGATNAAAAAAAATGAGGGGCATATAGGTAAATTCAATTTAAATAAAAAGAGGCATGAAGTATCTTCTTCCTCACTTGGACGGGAGTGTTGGGTGTACAGACACCATGGACGGGAGTTAGAATTCAAAATCTACCATAACTAAAGTTATTTTAACGAAAAGTTTTATTTCATAAATTCTCAAAAGTTCTTGCATGGGTCGACTTATATACATTTTTCACAATAATGCACATTTACGTAATGAAATTTTGTATTTTTATTTATGTTGTTGTTTAGTGTCGGACGTGTCAAGTCGAAAACATGTCAATTATTAAACAAAAGTATCACTATCTAACCGTTATATCCGTCTAACAGTAGTCTTACTATAAATTATAAGTATGACCAACTTTTTAACTAAATTAATCCTAAATCAACACAAAAAAATAAATTAATACTAATTGATAAATTATAAGTATGACCGGCTTTAAATACTAAATTAATCCTAAATCAACACTAAATAAAAGAAGATAAATATAACTGTTAATTGGGTAAAAAAAAAGTATTCAATTTCGAATAAAAGATTTGTACAGTGGAAAATCGGTTCCAAAACACTATTTTTTAACATACATATGAATATAAAGTATAATATTTTATTTATTCATAGTGATTTTAGATCGTAAAGTGTATATTTTTTTGTTCAGTTTGATTATTACAAGTCATCGACCCTCTTAAATCTCAACAATTGTTCAACGTAAATATAACTCATGCTTTAAACACCAATCTCGTTAGATATAAATCAATCTTAACAAATTATCTCACCCACTATTTGTGATATACACTGTTGATTCAAATTCAGAAAGGTTGTTATATTTTATTAAGGGATACAGTATCAAATGCAAAAATAAAAAAATAAAAAAGATGAACATCCTTGATATCTTAACATATTTTTTTTTATACTAATGGATTAGCATAGTAGTTTCCTTCAAAACAAATCATATTATATCTTTCATTTACTTAACATATCAATTGATTTTACTACCAAAATTATTATATCATAACAGATTTTTTTATACTAACAATTGTTAAATGTAAATATAGCACATGCTTTATACATTAGTCTCGATAGATACAAATCAATCTTTACAAATCATTTCAACACACTAATGGTAATATATAGTACTACCGATTTAAATTAGAAGAACAAATGTGCTATATTTTATTAAAAGATAGCATACCAAATGCAAAAAAAAAAAGAAAAATGACGAGAGATACAATATCAAATGCTGATAAATAAATTTACAAATCATTTCAACACACTAATTGTAATATATACTACCGATTTAAATTAAAAAAAAATCTGCTATATTTTATTAAAAGATACCATATCAAATGCAAAAAGAAAAAAAAATGACGGGAGATACAATATCAAATGTCAATAAATAAAAAAAGAAAGGATATTGCATGTTCGCATGTTTTTTAAGAAATCGATGTTCAGTCGCGATCAGCTGTATATATGTAGTTACTTCACGCGTTACGACTCGTAAGCGTTTGAAGATTTTAATTTGTTGCCATGATGATGTACCAAAACTCAAATAAAGAATATATACAAAGAGATGTTTAATAATATATTAATAATATTTTTTTATTCTAATAAATGAGTTTTATGTTTTGAACAATGAAATGATCCCATCCTCCAAATTAAAATGCTTCCATTAATATTACTAGCCCGTGCATCGCACATGTATTGCACTAGTTATATGTAAGGTGGATTACAATATCACAATATGCTTGAACACATAAGAGCCATGACTAGAGCCATTTGGCTTATTAGCTCGTATTTCTACGAAAATTAAAATGTAGTCATAAATAGCATAAGAATCANAAAACCCGTTTACTACATAGAATGCACGAAAAAAACAATTGTGTTATCAATTGTGAAAAAAATCAAAAACTATGAAGAAAAAAAAAAAAATAAAATCGGTTTTTACCACTTCTTAACAGAGAGGTGATGCCCTTCCATGTCAATGCTGATTTTATAACCGCAGGCCAAAATGGAGCAACATATTCAGACCAATCTGCAGACTTAATATCCTGCCCACAAGCCATCGACTTTTAAAGCTAGCTCGAACTTTTAAACTACAAGTCATCTACACTAAAGGCAAAAGCAGTCGAACAAAGAGTTTATACCTCCATAGAGAGGGACTTGAGTAATTTGACATAATCGGCAGTTGAACACCATTCCGGAAGATAGTAAGCACCGCATATTTTGTTCAGCAAGTCTTGCTCGTCCGTGCGCAGGGACTCTCCAGGAGATAAATCCCTATGGCACCATGTAACTATTATTATCCTCCCACCAGGTGCCGCCACACGGGCCAGCTCATTCACAAACTACAGTTTCAACGCAAGGAATTAAAACAGATTGCAGGCAAAAGAAAAAGGAAAAATAAAAGAAAGACCTTCGCTTTGTTAGGCATATGTTCACCACTCTCCATGGACCAAACCAGATCGAACTTCCCATCCGGGAAAGGCTGATTGAGTGCATCGGCAACTTGGAACGAGGCCTACATTGCAAACCTTAGTGCATTTTGCAAAGCTTATATTNTAAAAAAAAAAAAAAAAAAAAAATCACTTGCCTTGTCGTTTAACCCTTGAGCAGCAGCAAGCTCTTGAGCTCTCTTAGCCTGAACAGGGCTCAACGTGACACCTTGACAATTCGAACCGTACTTTAGGGCTAAGTACCTTGAGCTGCCTCCTATACCACATCCCACATCGACTACACTCACTGGCTTTTGCTCCAAGTCATCTGCACATTTCATTTCAGTCCCCCAAAAAGGACACATTCACAATTCAGCAGAAATAAACAGTGCTAGTGCTAGTGCTAGTGCTAATGCTTAAGGATCTTACATGAGTTTCAGAACATCAAAATCCCAACATATCCTCAGCATCAAATCAAAAATTTCAGAAAATATTAAGATCTACCAAAAAGGATTTGAGATTAAAGGGGAACTATAGGGCTTCGAAACACTCTTAGAGCATTATCTAGTTATCTTCCTCAGATAGCCCATTCAACTTTACAAACCAAATACAGAGATTATCTCTACTCACTATTACGAGAGCTCTAGCTTCAACACTGCGTACATTTTTTTCCCCAAAACAATATCAAAATAAGAAGAAAAACCCACGAGACGGACCAGATAGAGAGGCGAACCGAAGGGCCTCCTCGATCATCCGGATCTGGGCCGACCGGTGGTCGGAGATGGAAACGTCGGCGCCCGGCTCGTAGAAGCCGTGGTGCATGTGGTCCCCCCAAATGTCCTCCCATATCCCCGACGACTCGTCGTACAGTTCCGCAATCCCCTTCTTCAAGCTATCGGCACCTCCCGCCGCCAGTGGCGCCGCCATCCTCCGCCTGGTAGAGCTCAACGTGTGAACAGGATTGGTCCTCCTCCCGCGGCCAAATGATCTGGAGGCGGCTATTGTTGTTATAGGGTTGGTGTTTGGGAGGGAGGGGAGGGGCCCAGCGATCGAGTAGGGCCGGCCGCATAGGACAACGCCAGCCGCGGTCATGTGAGCGGTTGCGACTTGCGAGAAAAGGAACACGTTTGCCAGCGGCTGTGTGTCTTTTAATTATTAGAATAGAGTGGTGTGAAACGCGTGTTGCATTTGGGTTGGATGATTTTGGGGTAAGATTTCTCTGATTGGGAGATTCTCTTCTGAAATATCTCGACTGTTGGGAATATTTCGGGAAAGGGGTGATTAAAAAATAATTTTATTGGGTAAAAGGCACAGAAAGTGTTGACAGATGCGTAAAATTGGTCATTGGAGTACAATAATTATAATTACAATTTGACTAGTACGGTGTATTTAAAATGATTTTTTCCCTTGTAGTATTTGACTTCCAACTTAAACAGTACTAACACAAGTGTATTACGCGGGTGCTTGTTAAAAGTTATGCTTATATTTTAAAATTAATGAAAAAATTTATTTTAAATTTTATTTACTTTTTTACAAAAAAATATATGTTATTATATATTTTAGAATGACATTTGTTACTTGTGCGACTTACATGTGTTATATTGAGTAATTTTTATAACTTATATCACATAACTACTTGAATTATAAATATATTAATTGTTAAATAATTTAATTTTTTAATTAATATTAAAAATAATTTTATGATTGTTATAAAAATAAATATAATTTATTTTTTTTATACATACAATATGGATATTAAATCGAAGTTCATGAAGAGATGATTAATTTGATGTATTATATATGTAAAACTGATAAAAAATACAAAAGTTATTAGCTTTTAAATATATGTACAATTCAATAATTATAATAAAAAATGATATTAAAATACAATTAATACATGTAATATGACCATAAATAATCAACATATTTATGGATAATCCGAACCTAATTATTTTGGATTGGAAGTAAATTAAAATCTATGCAAGCCTAATAACGAAGCATGCAATTTTCCCACATAGGATCTCGAAAAATGCGAGCCTGCCACTTAGGCTCAGCACGTTCTGAATTAATATATATATATATATATATATATAT